GTGAAAGCCGATCCGGCGATCCACAGCGCAAAGTTGATGTATTTCCTCAGCGACCAGCACGGATCAGCTCCAGGCATGACGAAGTGGATATCGTCCTCTTTTATGCTTTCACAACGAAACACACAGCGCCTTCACGACATGGCGGCAACAACAATACTAAAGCGAGAATCAAAGTTGCGCCTTCTTTCTTTGCATGAACATTTGGGTAGCTTTATGCAAATCTTCCCACATCGTGACATAGACATGTGGGGGCGTGTTAGAACGAGGCATTTTAGGTAGGCGTGGATGACTCTTAACTTTTATAAAGAATATCTCTTTGGATTTGAGACTTTAGTCTTTGCAACTTTACAGATCTTCTTTATGCACCAAGAGCTTGTAACACTCCAAAGAGAAAGGACAAATTTAAATCGCATCATATGACCCCTTTAAGGACATTATCATTTAATGTATATTATGTCCTTGATCACCTGGATCTCACATCTCCGAAATCGGCAAAGCACATTTTTTTAAATAGGCGCTGTCTTTATAAATAAACCGCAGATTTGAGTTTTAAACAACTACATTCTCACCTGAATTACTCTCAAAACTAGATTTCATGACACAATAACAGTGATATTTTGAAAATTATGCGAATAAATGGTGGTTGAAATACAATGCTGCGTGAACTCAACCAATCAGCATGCTCAGCGCCCAAGTCCCGCCACGAAAGGTCCGGACCTTTGAAAAAGTACTACCTCGCAAGCAGGGACTTTCTGAGGGGCAAATTTTTACCCGGAACTTTATTTAGATCCTGGTTCCTGATCCGTGTACCGCCCCGTGAACCCTAGTTCCTGGGTTAAGTTCCTGCGGTGGAAACGGGCTTTTTGATTGCATGTAACTCTTATCAGAGCTCAAGGTTTCACTAGAGGAAGAAGATGATTTCAAGGCCTCAAGGACATTAAACACTGGCTCTCTGAACACAATCAGCTCAGCGGGTGCCATGGCAAACCGAACCAAGAGACACATCAGTCAGACAAACTACTTGACCCATCTACTTTGGATAGTAATTGTCATAAGCTTGCCACATGTCAATAACTCCTCCATTGCTTTTTTTTCAGAAAAGGTAGAGGTGTCATGCGTAAGCAGGACTATAATGAGAAGCAAATATTGCATCACCACTGTTCCTTAGGAAGAACAGCTACTAGTAACAAGCCTGTTAGTGTATTCAGAGCCAAAGGAAAGTTATTGTGATTATTATGCTAACAAGCTGGTAGGAGCTAGAATACTAAATGGAAGAAACTGCAACTCTAAACATGGCGAATATAGGAATGGAAGTCTCAGTGCTTCTGCATCAGCAGCACCATACGCATGCGTCGTGGTACTCTCGTGAATGCGCGTCGAAGACTGATACAGAAGAGAAGAAATTGTTGAATAAAACCATTATTTTTGTTTTCTTTGTGCACAAAAAGTATTCTCGTAGCTTCATAACATTAACGTTGAACCACTGATGTCACATGGACTATTTAACAATGTCCTTACTACCTTTAGTTCTGTTGCTGTCCATGGAACGTCAGAGAGCTCAGAGCTCATCAAAAATATCCTAATTTGTGTTCCGAAGATGAACGAAGATCTTACAGGTTTGGAACGACATGAGGGTGAGTAATTAATGACAGAATTTTCATTTTTGGGTGAACTAACCCTTTAATAATGAGTGGAAAAAGTAAATGCACTAAATTCGATAGATAGATAGATACAGTGGGTACGGAAAGTATTCAGACCCCCTTCAATTTTTCACTCTTTGTTATATTGCAGCCATTTGCTAAAATCATTTAAGTTAATTTTTTTTCCTCATTAATGTACACACAGCACCCCATATTGACAGAAAAAAGATAGATAGATAGATAGATAGATTCCTTTTCTTGCAATTGTGTTTGTAAGTCCCAAGAAGACAGAAAAACAGCTAGAGACTCACCGCGCCTTCAAAACAATCAAACCGAGGTTCGTAGACCAAAAAAGTTTCCAAAAAGTAAAATACTTCAAAAAATACAAAATAAAGTCCGCACACTCTCAAAAATCAAAAAGTCACAAGCGAGATGAAAGCAGTGTAAGCAATTTACTGACAAAAAAAACAAGGCAAACGTTTCGGTCACATGTTGACCATTTTCAATGCCAAGCTAACAATATTGACAATAAAACTGTTGAGATGAAATCTGTTTTTGTTTTTCTTTTTTGGATCAGTGCTTGTTCTGATTGATCATGCGATCTCCTAAATCATCATGTGATTTCTTAAATCAAGACGGCTCCTAGTTTCAACATTCAGCTTGGCATTTCAACAACTTAGTTTGGCATTAAAAATGGTCAACATGTGACCGAAACGTTTACCTTGTTGCCTTTTGTTTCAGTAAATTGCTTACACTGCTTTCATCTCGCTTGTGACTTTTTGATTTTTGAGAGTGTGCAGACTTTTTTCAAGTATTTTACTTTTAAGTCCTAAGAAGACAAAATTACACTGTAAAAATTGATTTTTCAAAGATTTTTCAAGTAAATAAAACAAAGAATGCAAAAGTAAAAAAAAAAAAAAAAAATCTATTTCGGTCTTTCTAATTCAAAATGTTATGTTTAATTTAATGTATTACTTGAAATTTACCAGCAATTTCTGAGTGAAAATGTTTGTACACCATTTTTTTTATTGTATATGATGTATATGGGAATGCTGTCACATTTGGGCAAGCTGTCACATACATATGATATGTTGTAATTTTATACCATTTATCAACCGAACCAATGGCATTTTTTTTTAAAGTGTCATAAATATTGTGTTGACAGCATTGACAAAATTGTTAGTACATTTTGTAGATATTAAATGGGTAAATACAGAAAGCTATTTATTTATAAATCAGATTACTGAATGGGTCACATGCATGTTTAGACTACAAATTCATTTGTGATGGTTAGTTATGAAACAGAACCACAGATAAGCTCATTCTCTGTCTCTTTTGGGTTGTTGTTATGTGTTGATTGTTAGATCCACAAGAGATTGAGAAGAGAATAAACTGAATACAGACACACAATTCCTGAGAAAAGGGAATGCCCTCCAAATCACACATTAAAATAAAATGACATACTGTACCTCCCTTTTAGTCCTCTTTTTCATATTTAACATTCTGTACTATAATACAAGCATTATTATGACATAATTAAGCTGAATTGACTTGGGTGTGTTACATGTGGTTTATGTGTTCATGTACATGATATTCAAGATGTTTATTATCAGAGTGAATCACTGCAGATAGAGCGTTATTTCACACAGTCTCTATTAGTTTTTCTAACCAGTAAACATTTATCAGTAATAAACTTTGTGCAATTGCAAAAATCCATTGACAAGTGATGAGCTCAATATACATGAGAGTGATCTTGATATGAGTGAATGTCAGTTTCTGATGCAGACACAAACCTTAAAGTCTTGACTATAAAAACCCATAACATTTTCACTATCATTGTCCAAATATAGCTTATATTGACGGCATGTTGTCGAATTGCATGGGATAATGTCATAATGAGAACAAGCTGTTTACTGATTCTGATTTGGAAATACATTTGAAATATGAAATTGTATTCAGGAAAAAATAGCTTCCAACACACACACACGTGTGTGTGTGTGTGTGTGTGTGTGTATATATATATTAAGTTATTGTTTTGCTGATAAATTGTATAACTTTACAACATATTGAACGTATGTGACAACCTGCACCAACCTGACTATGGAAAATCTATGTGAAGTATGATATTATCAATGTGACAACTTGCCCCGGTCTCCCATATACATAATATCACGGGGGGGGGGAATGGTGTGGAACCAATTTTCACTCAGAAATATATTGAATTAAACGTGAAATTTTTAGGTATAAGTATTTTCCTGTAAAACGTGCCTACTCCAAAAATCTTTCAGCATCGAAAAATATTTTATTTTTACAGTGACTCTTAAATTTCGAGTAAAAGCAAAAGCAAAAGCAAAAGCACAAGTCCCAATCAATTAGGCTAATGCAATAATGACGGACAGTTTGGTACCGAGTATAATATGCCTTTAATGTCTAGTTAAACGTGAGCTATAAGATGATGAGATGTAGCGTGCTTACAGTCTGCTGTGAGTCCTGCTCTTCAGGCTTTCCGTCGCGCTGTTACAGGTGATGCTCTTCTGAGAACAGCGACAGATCTCCGGACACACGAAACACACACCGCCGCAGAAAGACATCAGCAGAGAAACGAGCAGCAGGAGACATCTCCACATCGTCTCGTGATGTTTTTGCCTTCTTTAAAATGGTCAAGTCCACTTTCCTTTCGCCGGGTTTCTGGCTGGTACTGACGGGAATTAAATGCGCTTATCGCCGATTCCTCGAGTGGGTTACATTTTTATGAGATTATTAGGCTAATGATTTAAAGTTCCTAACCTGATAGTGCAGTATATACACAGTACTTGTTCACAGTCCTTTCAGAGGATCGGGTCTGGGAGAAGAGCTCACAGATAAACTGTTACGGTTGTCTTCCGTGAGTCTTATCAGAAATAATACGCGCTGCGCCTGCCC